GTTAGTTAGTTGTAGTAAGTACCTACTACTACTATATAGTTAGTACGTGTGTGTGTGTGTGTATATATATATATATATATATATATATATATATATATATATATACACATACATGTATTATTTACACATTAAAGTATTCTAATTGAGACTAGAGATAATATTTGTAGAAATCTCTGTTGACGTTATTGGAAGTCAAGACGAATATATAAATAAAACTGGGGTTACCCAACTGATTTTAGCCATTATAAACAAACGCCTGGTATTTACATTATACCTGTACTCAAAAGGATTAATATTAGTTTTAAAGTAATAAATCAATGCATTTAAAACGTGTTGCAAGAAATTAATAAACCTATCATGTACGGAAACCACAAACCCGCAATGAAGATTTCACATATAGAGCATTTAATTATTAAATGAAGTGTAAACACACACTAAAAACATGTATCTGCATCTTATCCGTTGACCTCTCATCGTTTTCTAATCTTTTAAGTTGTCATCGTAGATCATAATATGTTATTTCAAGCTTGTATTTTATTTTTACTTTTAAGATTTCGCGCTTATACTACATACCAATAGGCCTATACTATTTAATCGTATACAAAGCACCGTTGTTCCATAAGCTCAAGGCATACCGGGAAAAAATTGAATATTTATGGTTGAAAACAGCTCCGACATAAAGAGCATCTGTATTGAAACATAATATGAGTGTGAAGAGTTTTTTTAATGCTCGTTCAGTTACCTACAGAGTTCGGAAAGTATCAACTGACATTACAACAAGGCAGTGACATTATCGGACATAGTATCTTAATATGAAGTGCTTTCGTTGTCACAAAGACATACTGTTTTTAAACAAGTTGCTGGTTATATGATAGATACTAAATAGGGTTGGGTGATAATTGGGTCTGTGTGGGGCAGATCAAATAATTGTTCTGCGCATTACTTTGTATTTTTTGAAGATAGCCTTTTGTCATGTAAATAATTTACAGAATTATACATAATAAAGGAAAAAAATGCTGTTTTACAATATCCATTCAGAAAGTATTTAAAATAAGCTAATCAATATTTCTTAAAGAAAATCGTCTGAAATATATTTATATAAATTAACGTATACTTCAGTATCAAACAGTTTGTATGTATTAACCCTAAAGAAGCTGTAAAAGCGAAACGTTGGTAGTAATAAAAAAAAGAAATTTATATACATCTGAGTGTAAAGGTCGTTTATCTAAACTTTTATCAAAATGTTTTTAGTGGGCCTTACACGAACACTTCAATCGATTTTAAAAAAATATATGTGTTTAAAAATACGTTATCGATTTCCTTACATTTTTAATTTGATCAAAATCTTTTTCCAGTTCAGAAAGTTTATATATGTTTAGAAGAGACACATATAACGTGATTTAGACTAGTCGATATTCAAAAACAGACTTGTCGAATATGTAAAATGTGCTGTAGCTGGTGCAGTTCTGAACGAATTACCACATGTCACTGTTTTGGTCACATAGAGATGATTGAAACAGAAGTGCAACAAAATATTAAACAGCAGGAAATGGATGTCGAGTAGAAAAAGCTCCTTCTAACAGCAGTGTCCAGCCGTGACTGACAGCCCCAAAGATGGGTTTCGTCTGTTCATCTGGTTTCTCAGTTTGTTCGACTGCAGCTTTTGGTAATGTAGAAACAAATGTTACTTCCAGATGTTAAATCTTACAAAAACTCGTAAATAGAACATTTACACCTGCGTTCCAACGTGTGATTTAGAATAATAGCCAAGTAGTTATGAAGGTCACAGGTGTGGGAAGTCATTTCATCCGCGACGCACGTGCGAGTTAGAGCAAGGTAGCGATTTGTCACGTTTGTGTTATACCTAAAATATATAGTGAGAAACTTTAGTGACCGTCTTTAACCTGGTTAATTGGTATTTGCAGTTTGTGGAAGAAAGGGAGCTCGCGCTCTCTTTATGTTCCTGTACATGATAAGAATGATTATAAGCATTGAAATATTTTAGACCGATGAATATCATACAGTGATAAAAGGGTTGGAAACAAGTGTTAATTTTTTACTAATTGTTCTTGTGTCAAGCATTGTGTTGTATAATAAGGTATATTTTTATACCTTGTGATGATATGGTTATTAAAGCTTCGTTATGCAGTGTAGTAAGCCATAAACATTCCACCCTCTTTCGCTCAACGTTAACTGAATACCAGAGACAACACAGAGGATACCGCAGGGGGAGAGCTGGTTGAAAAGACTTGGTTTTGTAAAATGCTTTTTCACGTGAAGAACTAAAGCTTTTGTGTACAGTCTTCTATTGAGAAGGGTTTTCATAGAGTTCCAGACGAATTGGCGTCCGTAACGCTCGAATCACCTTGGTCTAAGTCCGAGACTTTGTTATGGCCCTGAGAAAATGTCACTTCATGGCTGGTGGTGGCCTTACAGAATCTTATTTTTCTGGTGACTTTAAAGTAAGCATTCACCCACTTCCCTATTTAAAAGGTGTTGAATCCTCCAAACAAATATTCCCGAGTTGAAAGCTTTTCGTACAATGATGCCGTGAATTATACCTGCTCGACTTTATGCACGTGACACTTCTATGTGTTCTTGGCCTCGAACGTATTTCTTCTTGAAATGATATATTCTTAAACATAAGAGAAAGCAAGTCATATCCCGTGAAAGAAGCTGATACAGTGATCTATGTTTCATAGCCGTCGTCGACATGAACGTACGTTGTTCTTGTTCCGATTCTAGAGATCAGTAAAGCAAAAATAATCGTTGGTTTACTGTAAAAAATTCTTCGTTGTTATAATCCATATAATTTCGGGAATTGTTTCAAATATCATGAATGACAAACGCAAGTAGGTTGTTGCTTCCAAGTATCAGATAGCGTTAGTAGCGTATATTAAACATAATTTTGATATAATTTAGGTTTATATAGTCCCAGTGGCACAACAATTAAATCAGACTTTCCCGTATGTATATCTATTGAAAAAACAGTTGTAAAGAAATATCGACAGTTGTTGTGTATATAGAATATTGTACACCTTGCGAGTAGTATTAGTCGCCACGTTAATATATATATATATAGAATTCGAGGTTTGATCCTTGCAGTGGCCACGCACAGATTGCCTATTGTGCAACTTCAACTTAACGCTTTCATGTATACATCTAAAGCTCTATACTTAACGCTTTCATGTATACGTCTAAAGCTCTATAGAAAGGATGAAGTTAGATAAAAATGTATATCCTGCTATAAAATATGTATCATAATACCGATACGTAATTATAATGTGATCCAAAAGAAAAGCACGGACGTTTGAGTCTGACAGTGTATGTCCTCGGTGTTTATGTACCTTATAGCATTTAATTAACCTTTGTGACAGTTTTGTGTTTGCTTGTTTTTGTACTTACATGTTACAATTATATCAGATTGGCGTGGCCACGTGGTTTATTATTATAATTTGTAAATTCGTCAACATTTGCTAGGCCTAGCTTCAGAAAATGTTTTCTGTTGCATTGCTATAAACAATATTATTGAAGGAAAAATAAATTCGGATAACCTGCGAAACTAATGTTGAAGGCAATTTAGAGAAGCATGGAAAATATAATGAGTTACTGTTGCTCAGATATTGTAACTGTTTAGGCTTAATTTGGTTTCATAAATTTAACCCTTTTTTTAAAAGAAAGTTTGAGTTCTGGGCAAATCTGAAGTAAAACACTACAAAACAATATAGCTAATTTTTCTGAACGCAAAATTACACATTTATTTCAACTAAACTACTAATATTTGATAATTTTACATGTTTAAGAAGCTAGTTCAAAACAAAAAATTGAACAACGTATCTGTTTTAACTATCAATATTTACTTCCAATTTATGATGTTAATATGAAAATATTTCAAACTGTAAGTAATGTAAGGTTATCTAAAAACCAGATTTAAGCCATGAGGTAAATAATGGAGCTATGATACAAAAGAAACCTCCTGCCGTTTGTGACTAGAACCACTCCCTCTAAAAAACTGGTCGCTTGTTTAATTATGTTCAAAGCTAGCTAGCTATCTGTGAAGTCGTACTTGATTAAAGAAAGCAGAAAACAGGAATAAAAACTGGTTCGAAATTAATAAGCGGATCGTTCTAGTTTTGCTATTTAAAAATGGGTATCATGTTTTTACATAATATTTATGTCTTTTACAGAGAACTGCAATATAACGATTTGACAAAAGTTGAAGAAAATTCTTTTGATGGACTACCGAAGCTGAAGAGCTTGTAAGTACATACGATGATTTTGTTTGGATTTATCTGTGAAATTCGTGTTTCGATAGGTATAATGTTGGAAGAAGAGAAACTTTGTTGATCGTAACTGTTTGTTAACAATTTCTTAAGCACGGATTGATTTTTTTCC